CGTAAACAGACGTAAACAAAGAAGGATGCACTAGACCGAGCAAAGTGGCGATCATCGATCCGAAAAACGGGCCTCGCACCTAGCGGGACAACGTTAAGCAGAAGAATAAGAATGTAATCGTAATCAGGATGTTAAATAACCTCCTGTATGCAAGTTTTCAGCAGATTTGGTGATCTAGGCACTTCATAAATGAATCCACAGCGGAAAGTAATCGCGTTCAAACGGTTACTAATGCAGCTTTAGAAATTGCCTGTCTGTCGCCGCGCAGATGTAAATTACGATTATCTTGACCGACTCCCTTTGTACCGAGCCGTTTGAAATTGATTGTAAAAGGTACGGAAAAGGTCAACAGCTTGTGGCATTGACTCTTCGCCACCGCTTGAGCTAGCATGAGTTTGCAACTCGAATAGATGAGCATGGAGTCTTGGCGCGCATAGTCGTGCAACGCGCCGCGCGCGACAGCGCGGAAAGTTGTGATGCCTTTGTTTGTTTACCCCGCAGCCGGGAACGAGGGGCGCACAGTAGTATTGCAGTATCGTACAAGGCGCTTTGTAGAATGAGAAAGAGCAGTTATAACGCGAGTGGTGGAAAGGTGATTTTCTAAGAAAGTTTGCAAACTTTTTTGTGATCTTTCCATTAATAAGTGTTATAAAATACGGCAGATTCGACTTATCACTGCGGCTTTAGCAGCATTGTGACTGTAATAAAGTTATTGAACATTGCAGTGGTTCATATGCGAGCATTTACAGATCCGTCGTGCAGTAATCAATGTGAAATCATTAATCGTCAGCTGTTGAACTCAAAAGACATCACATCAAGTGAACTGGAGCAACTGGGATTGAAGCCGTTGGAAGAGTGGAATGTCAGGACGTTGAACGGCAGGCCAGGACTGTATATCATTCCTAATGTTCTGAGGTAGCTGTTCTTTTAGCTTTTCTAGGTTATGCCACCTCGAACGTGAAACACCGGTCTGAGTACCTTATCACCGGCACCTAGACACCCAGTAATCGTCCGGGGGATGGGTTCCACTGCACTAGAATTGTTCACAGTTGCGAAGCAGCGTTTCTCTAAGGCTGCGTTTATACTTTGCGGCAGCGTAGCGTAGCGCTTCCAGCGTACGCCAGCGGCAGTGTCGGGGAAAGGATAGATATCGATCTAGCGTTCCCAGCGTCACCAGCGTACGCTAGCGCACGCTGGCGTAGCGAGGGCACGGGAAGCATAGCTATCGATCTAGCTTCACCAGCGTTTCTCCAGCGTTTTCCCAGCGCTTGCAGCGACGGGGCTAGAGAGGGGCTAGAGAGTATTGAAGTAGGAGAGTACAAAATACTCTCCTCCCTTCAATACTCTCTAGCCCCTCTCTAGCCCCGTCGCTGCAAGCGCTGGGAAAACGCTGGAGAAACGCTGGTGAAGCTAGATCGATAGCTATGCTTTCCCGTGCCCTCGCTACGCCAGCGTGTGCTAGCGTGCACTGGCGTGCGCTAGCGCCACGCTAGCGTACGCTAGTGACGCTGGGAACGCTAGATCGATATCTATGCCTTCCCGACAACTGCGGCTGGCATACGCTGGAAGCGCTACACTACGCTGCCGCAAAGTATAAACGCAGCCCAAAAGAAGCGTTTCGGCGAAAAGCTTTCGATGCGCATCGATTGGCGTGGGGAAGGGGGGGGACACAAGTTGGGAAGAGTGTGGAACGCGCTGAGCGAAAACGTCCAGCCGACCGCTTGACGTTTTTTTCTCCTACGGCGGAGCTAAGCTGAATCGGAGGGAGCGGGGGAGCGAAGTGGGAGGAGGGATACGCATCTATTGCTTTTCGCCGAGCCGCCAAACCGCGGCGGCGTTTCTCCAGAGCGGTTGGCGATTCTCCGATCAATACGTATTTATTGCTTTTCGCCGAACCGCTGTTTCGTCAGGGTCGCAGACTGTGAACAATACCTTAGTGGCCGTGCCAAAATGAGATTTATTTATTTTGGTAGTCGGTCCTCCTCTGTTTCTGTTTCTGTTATACATTCCTTACATAAAATTGCTTTCCTACTAGTAGGCAAGATCATCTTGGCGAGAGTGGCCAAAGTACCTAAACGTGTCACCAAGTTAGTTGCTAGAATGGAAAAGAGGCAGAGGTGGTGCAGTTACAAGTGGCGCGTTTACCACACGCGCAACCAGGGGTCAAATTCCGGAAAGGCTTCCACTTATGCCAAGCAAGTCTTCTATACCTTTCGAGGACGCTCAGTTGGTACCAGATTCGTTTGGGAGTAGACGAACACTGACCCAAATCGCGCTCAATAAGTCGCTACGATTCTGAATGGAAATAGAATGCGTGCCGCACTCCAAAAGGGATTGATCAATGGCGTAGACTTTATCCTTTCATCTATTTTATAAAAAAGTATGGTGAATTCCTCCATTTCAGAGACGACGCAGTTGAAATGTGGCTTCGACGTGTTTTCTTGTATGCAGAACCTCCTAATATCACCAATCTTACTGCTCATGGCACTAGCCCAAAAAGGTCTTTTGGTTGTGGTATTCTTTTGGGCGGGCCCAGCAGCCATGGTGCTGCCCGCAGTTTCACACACTCTTGACCCCATTCGGAGGAGAGTAGGGGGGCAGTAGCTTTGACTATTAGTGGATAGTAAAGTGCTCCATAGCTCACTCGTGAATTTATTTCGAAGCAGTTTCAGTGATGTTCTTCGGTTAGCTGGTAAATCGTTGAGATGGACCACGTTGGGAGTCGCGTACAATTGGGACACGAAAGAGTACCCATTGACTGGGGATCCTCTTCCCAAGGAACTCGTCCAGTTTGCAGATGTGAGGCTTTCCTTGATTTTATCCAAAAATTCTTGCCCTAACTGGTCTGCAAGCGCTTAGAAGTTATGCTTCAGGTCGTGACGAGGTATCTTGGCTTAGGGACTATGCATGCGGATGCGGCTATAATTAATTATTACCCACCAAAGTCGACACTTTCGCCTCACGTAGACAGGTAAGTTGTTTCTGTGCCATCAGTAGTATCGCGAAGATAATTTATCAAAAGCCAGTCGGATCGGCCGGCTTCGCCGGCTATATTGCTCAAGAACTTTTTTGGAAATTCCCCTATTCTACCATTTCGTTCACATACCCGTCCCTCGGCCCGCCCTCTCCAGTGCAGCTCTCTAATTTTTTCATAAAATTTTTATTTTTTGGCGCTAATCTACCTATCCGTGCCAGATTCCTCGCAGACGAGGTGATAGTCGCGATAGTAGAGGTAGCAGTTTGTACCTTCTGGACTAGGAAATGAAGCTTCGTTCCAACGCAGCTACGTATGCTGATGCTATAATACACCGCCGAAATGCTGATTTTCAAGCCACGGTCACAGCAAGGTGCGCCCCTCCCATGGTCCATCTATTTCATTCGGTTCCGTTTCCCACATTTTCCACCTCTCGGCGGGTCTTGCGAAACGCATCCGAGTTCTCGAATTTTGCTTGTGGCAAGCGCCGCCCGTCTATAGAACGCCCCACCCATGATGTTTCACTCATTTCGTCCGCCAACATTGCCTATCGCTTGCCACGTTCTTCCGCTCTCGGGGCTCTTTTGCGAACCAGCTCGTCGGCGAGGCCTTTAGCCCTTAGGTTACCTGTGTTCCGTACATCTTGGGCCATGGCCTACTCAGCCCACCAGCGTCGGAAGGGGCGGGATGAGTCCGCCTCCGACTGCCTTGGCCTACAAACGTTAATCGGTTAGTGACTGAATGGAAAAACAATGGTTTTTTAAGAGGAACTAGAAAATGAAAATGAATTTTTCATGCTCTAGTTCGATATCAACTCCAATTACTGTTCCTTTACGACTGCGATTATGCTTTTGAATTTTTGTAATAGTAAGAAGTGTGTGCAGGGGACATCATGAAAAAGACAACGAAGATTTGTATAGTATTTGTGATACTGAATTTTTTAATCAAACAGACCGTCTAGAGCCAACTCCCCCCCCCTTAACGCCTAGTTGCACTGCTGCCAATAGTTCTTAGACTGTATTAAAACCATTTAGGTCAGAACGAACTTCTGCACCGTTGGTGTCGTTCTCCCTTGGACAGTCAGCTGTTTACCTGTCAGGAGGTAATTCACTTGACGACGAAGTCATTTCCCTTATGGCTTCGTTCAGGCGACATTCTAGTGATGCATGCTGCTCAGCGACTCGTTTACCATGCTGTAGCAGCCATTCATAATCATCGTCAGTTCAGTTTCAGCGATCCGCTCCTCGAGCAGTTCGCTAATACGAGTCGAGTGAATATCACTGTTCGTCAGGTGAATCCGGTGCCGTCATAGTTTAGGAGACGGACAAGACAATCATAGTTTCCCGCGCTTCCGCGAGCGGCTCATTATTCTTTGGTGCGCGTCAAATTTTCGACCTATAAACAGCAGGGTATGGCATTGTTGTTGCTTGAAACAACCATATGGGGGTAGCGTACCTCCGCTAAGGATGGGAGTGTCTTACTAGTCGCTGACGGGGATAGAGCCAGGGGTGGGGGTGGGGGGCAGTCGATTGTGGCTTTGAGAGGAAGTTGCCGCGTTCTGGGCAATTTTCCATTTTGTTGGCGTTTGACGTGGTTTTTCCCTGCTTTTTCATGATACTACTATCCACGCTGCGACGGGAATATTTTTGGTCGTAGCGTAACCTTCGTTTAGGTGGGGAAGGGGGGGTCGTACTGACTCTCCCTAGGTCGTACCACTTCACACATCACGATGCTGTATCCTGTACATCAGTTTGTCGATCTGAGCGTGGTCGAAATTTCGATCGGAGCCGTGGTGAAGTCAAGTAGAGCTAAATGCGCAAGTGATATTCAATATTCTCCTGCTCCCTTCATAATCATATCAAGACCGGGGGGCCGGGGGGGGGGCGGGGGGCCCCCCCCCCCCCCCCCCCCCCCGCTCCCCCCCCCCCCCCCCCCCCCCCCCCCCCCCCCAAAAAAAAAAATAAAAACAAAAACAACGACAGGACAAATAGTCCTCAACACTGCGCCGGACCGTCGCTTGACCACTCCAGCGCCCGGTTTATTATGATTGTCTTGTTACATACCCTCACAACCTATCGTTGTTTATTTCCGATTCTGTTTTGCTCACTTAGGTTAATTTTCTTTTGTTTCCTTGCTGTTGTTAGGGTTTCTTGATAACCTCTGTTTCTCTAGGATAGTTGAGTTCTGAAGTTAGTTTTCTTAAAAAGAAAATCAATAAATCTTGTTATGCGCTCTTGCAATAGACGGTTCAAAGCGAGGGCACATCGTTGGTTGGGGAATCCCCAACAGGGGGGGAAGTGCGGTTGTATTTTGCGCGGCAGGGAATGAGAGGGGGGGGTCGTAATGAGTGCGGTAGCCAGTAACGAGCAGCGCAAAGGTGTCAGTGTGCTGAGTCCCGTACAGCGAAATTTGCTTTGTAGAGAACTCGGATATGCAAAAAAATAGTACAAAACTTTCACTCATCAAACTATATCCGAAATCTAACGTGGAAATCATCAGTACGATCACATCATCTTCGTAAAGTTGAACTAAAACAGCTTACAAACTCATACTTCTGGTTCGCTGCGGATGATGGGGCGTGTCCGCGATCGCGCTTGGCGCTGAGCCAACCTGTTTTTTTTTTTCGACAAACGACAGGACTACCATATCTTCGTATCAGACGTTTTCCAGGCAGTTCTGTCTCCTCGATCGCGAGATCAGCAATTGGCGGGAGCGGCGAATCTTGGCGGGTCCGTCGATCAAGCGACACTGCTCCATCATACGCAACGGAAAACACCTTCGTAAAACAAGTGACAGGGCTCGCCATCGGACTCCCTAAACCCTGAGCGACACATTTGCTCGCGTGAACAGACATTACGCACAAGTTGCACCATCCCATCACCTCGCGGCCCTCAGTGCGCGGCGCATCCAAAGTTGGCGTGATCGGCGCTAAACGAACCATATCCTGCTCCTGCTCCACCACAGGATACGTTCTACATGCGTTCCTGGCTATTCGAACACGCTCACTTGAAACGGTACACAGGAAACGGGTTTTTCGCGCAGCTGGTAAGTGTTCCCCAAGAAATCCCCAACAATTTATCTCACTCCCAGCGGAGCTTCAATCAAAACGTCACAGTAGGTTCTGGGAAGTAGCAAATCTTCAATAGAACTCGGACCAGTTAGTTTCAGATTCCCAAAACTATATTGAGGTTCCAAGTGGAAGAAAAAACTATCTGCTTCAATCCTGTAAAACCTCGCGCTACAACGCTATCCAAAAAACATTGAAATCCACTAAATAATTTTCCAACGCAAATTTTCTACATTGAAAATCGGCGATCTTATTGTTAACATGTAATAGATATTTTTGTCGAAAGATATGGAAGCTTATCTCCAATACCCACTGCTTTTCTTCTTTTTCCGAAAGGTGCGCTATTACGGAAGTTATGGTCCGTTAAAGAGACCCCACTTTCGTGAAAGTCTGCGCTGCAATCAAACCATCTGCAACCACCTTGCGAGCTGGAGATCCTGCCCAGAATCCCTCCCCCCCGGTACCTCGGCTTTAATCTGATTTCGGCTGGTTTGCTCTCTTTCGTATTTACTCATTCGTGTTAATCTTCTTCTCGGTTTATTCGAATATCGATTACTTATCTTCTTCTCACCATCAGTTTACTCGGATACGCGTCAGAGCGAGCCCTAGCAATATTGCGGACCGCTCAAAGTGCTCTTAGGAGGCTTAACTTCCTGTTTTTTTTTTTCTTTATAATTGCCAATTGATTCCACCGGTACCAGAAGTTTGTTTTTGGACTCGAGAAAGGCTGTGTTTAAAGCCTAATGGCCTTTCTTTTCTATTCTCTTTTCTGAATTAGGATAGAAATGAGCAAAAAGCGAGGGGGCCTCATTCAGGATTGTTACTTTTTCCATTTTTCGCGCTTAGACTTATGGTTTCTTCCTCCTCGGAGGGGGGGAAGAAACTTAAAAGTTTATGCATAGGGGGGGGGGTCGTACCGAAACCCCAAAAAAAGGGGGGGGGTCGTACGGGCTTCACCAAAATCCCCAGATGGGCCTGTTCAAAGCACATTGCGGCTTGGATGAAAGGGTGGAACTTTGTGGACGCAGGCAGATATAATACATATCGAGCAGTGATGTGAACGATATGAGAAACTTCAAAATGGTAGACGAATGGGACTTTTGTATTTTGTCGCGTTCGCCGCGCGCGGCATACCATGCGGCAATGCGCGGCAAATTCCCGATGGGCATCAGCTCGTCATTTGGAGCAGCAAAACTACTATGCATTCAAGCAGAGGCAAGATTCCATGATGGATGACACTGAGTTCCTCGGCCACCTTGACACTCATTTCCGAGTGACCGGGCAGAACGGATTTTCCTGTCCGGTCACCTGGAGTCATCCGTCGGGTGCGGTGTCGCTCGCCTACGCCCAGCAAGCGGCGGCATATTACGGTTTTCTTGTCACAACACCGTTGTCACCCTCAAAAAAGAGGCTATTTTCACACCATCATTACACGGAGTGCTTGACCGTAACTATGACCTTGTCTGTAAGTAATTCACGATCCACAATGCGGCACAGTATCACTTGCATTCAGAATCGTAGTCGCAGTTTGAACGCAATTTCGCAATATTATAGTGGCCATCCTTGCAAAATCAGTTTTTGTATGCTCTCAGATGGGTCTCGATACAAGTTTACCAGCTCAGGAGGAATGGAAGGCTTTATTCGCTCGGGTGGGGCCAAACCAGGATTTGACTCCGAGAAAGCAGGCGCAATATTCGAACCACTTGCCGCGACACCACCTTCACCGCAATGCCCGGAAATGAGCGAAGTAAGCTCAGAGAGAGATGGGGAACGGTACCAGGAATGACTTCAAGTTGGGTGAATCACATCTCACCAAAGCAAAAACTATCTTTGCTGGAAGGAAATAATCCATCTTCTAGGTCACAGGCGTCCCGCAGCAGCAGCGCTGCTAGACATGGGCAGACATTTAGCACCTTCGCTAGTTTTTTTGCTAATTTCTATCGAATCGTACATCTAACTTTGGTGAGATCTGTGGACTCTTGTCAAATGATAGGGAGGGGAGGGGGTAAGAACGTCCTGTTATTGTTTTTTAAAGAGTCCATAGCTTTCGACTTTTGATCAGTACTCATGATTGTGTCATGTCGTAGTCGTAGAACATTCCCTGAGCCTTTCCGCCAATCGCAAATTAATCGCTCGCAACCCCTCCTTAACTTTAAGTA